CATCTAAGGGCCTTGGGATTTTGATGGAGGATCAGCTGGCACGGAAGATAACAACAGTAAAACACGACGCATTAAGCCTAACCAGCAGATCAACAGTCTGCCACGCCGTTCCTCTCACTTCCCTTCAGATCCTTCTCCAGACTCCTTCCTCCTGCGACACTTTCAAGAAAAAGTAATTTTAAAATCCCTTTGTTTATCCCATCTATTTTTCCTATGAGATGGCTGCTTCCTCATGTGGAAGGACAAGACTCAAGCATGGCTGGAAGCGGTATAAAGACAATAATGGACAAACATGGAATTGCTAGAGGATGGAGAAAGGTCTCTTGGACACGTGGCTTCCACCTTTACCAACTCTTCACCTTACCCCTTGCAAACAGACACACTTCCTAAATTAACTCACTTGTTTATGTACACCCTGTCACGGCTGCAGCTAATACAGAAGGGTGCCTGGGGATGGGACCAGCACACAGGCACCCAAACCACTCCACAGCCCCCTCCGATCATCTGGTTGAAGCCCAAGCTGGAGGAAGCTCCGCTCACCACAAAGCACTGATGAATTCTGCACCGTTCTGCTTTTCCAAACCTACCTACATCGGGAATATTCCGAAGCACGTAGGTTTCGGGACGCCCGTTGCTCACCACGTTATAAAGTTAGCAGTCACCTGAAGTGACCAAGCATCCACTCACTTTGTTTTGCTGTTTCTCTTAAGAAAACGATCAAGCTTCCCCCAAATAAGATGCAGTGGAAGGAGATGGAAAGCGGGTACTGCCCTTGACATTTCTAAGTACAGCAGATGTACTGAATGGGCTCCCGTTATTTATTTACTTGTGTAGAGAAAATGCTTATTACTGAAGAAACCCAAAGGCTGGTAAGATGATGAGATGGTCTCACTTTCGCTTATCCTGAGTGAATACAAGTATCTATAACTAAATATTTCCCTTAGGGTACTGATGACTGAGGTATGTTTATTGCATTGAGTGAATTTATATATATAATCAGCACAATAAACATTATTAAATTGTCTGAGTAAAATCAAAGCATGAAACACACAGTCAGTGCTGAATTCTAATGATGCTGAATGCCCATGATTGCATGGGGAAAGGATCTTAACAAGCCTTGATTTGAGCTTTGGCATCCGCCTCACAAATCACACGAAATGTTCTCTCTTTAATAGTGCTGAATATTGATAAATGTCTCTGCACGGCACAACAGGGAAGTTGGTCTCTATTGGCAATCTTTACCAAAGTGTGTTTTTTCCTTCTCTACACTCAAGGGTTTACCCTGAATGATTTAATTATAATTTTCCTTGTGTAAGACAAATTAAAGAGGAGAGTAGGAGTGTCATGCCAAAGCAGATTATTTATCTCCTTAACAGATTGCTGTGCACCAAACCCCAGAGCTGCTGCTGCTGCTACTTACAGAAACTGGGCAAAATGTGGGACAAAAGCATAGATGTAATATACATTTAAAGCCCAAATGAATGAAGCATTAACCCATTATTTATAGCTGGAATTGCTTCATTCCTGTGAAAGCCGTACACGCAGAGCACGCGGAAACCAAGTGCAGCACCACGATGCTCCCGGCCCCTGCCCAGGAGCGGACGACGCCTCCTGCTTTTGACCATATTTTTGCTTTTCAAACGTCTTGGGGTGACTCTGGCCACCCACCTGCTTTTGGCTTTTTTGCCATGAAGGAGAACAACTGTTGTCACTCGGCTCCGAGCACAGCAGCCCCATGGCGGCCACTGTCACCGGTGGCACCAGATCTGTGCCCCTGCAGCCTGATCAGGACTAAAACTTTGCCATGCACACCCACGAGGCCGGGCCCGTGGCACGGCGACGCGTGGGCATGCCAAGCAGCCGACGACTCTGTTTCTCCTGCTGTTTTAAATCCCTTGTTTATAACCAAAAGGTGTTTTTACCCAAGACGTTCAGCAGAGCTGCTGCTCGCCCAGCGACTTTTACGCCGGTGCCTCTGCGGTCAGCTGAGTGCCTCCTGTCCTGCGGGTCTCGAGCAGCCTCAGAACCCGACCTGTGGGGTCAGGAACACTGTAAAACACAGCCTGAACTGTCCCAGTGACACGTGCCAGAGATGACAGCGATGACAGTAACTCCCACATAACCAACTTGCCTCCTGCAGCCCACTCTTTCTCAAAAGCCCAAGAGGAAGGGGAGGGGGATGAAGAGCTTTACAGCACACCCTAAAAGTTAATGTTACCTGTATATGATTATTTATTGCTGCTGGGCAGTCGTTACGATGTGGCTGTGCTTAACTGTTGGGACACTTACAGCTTTTACTATGTGCTTTTTATTGTTGTTTGAATCTAAATAAATAGCTGCCGGCTGTTTCAGACCAAAGCTAACAGCCACGTGCACAGAAGGTGCAGGAGCAAGAGAGGGGAAGCCGCAACCCAAATACGTGCCCTGGCCAGCTCAAGCTGCGGGCTTATGTGATGGGAGGTGGAAGGGCTGATGTCTCCCTTGTGAGCCCTTCCCACAGCCCCATCTGGCCCGAGCGTGGGCTAGGGACCACCTCTGCAGGTGTGGTTGTATTTGCGAGCTCAGTTGTTGTGTCGAACCAGCTGGGTGCAAGAACACGCACAGGTTTGTCTCCAAGTCCAGTCAAGTCGTGCTCCCAGCAGACTCGTGATTATTTCTGGTCTTAACCTTTGCAATCAAAAACCAACCAAAACGCTGCTCACATCTGTGCTCTCTCTTTCTTAAGTACCCTAAAATTTCACCTTCTCTGGGCTTTCAGATACACATCTGACGGCACAGCACGGCTACTCTTTTCCCAGTGCTTGCTCACTCACCACCCTGAACTCCCTGCCTGTAGCTAAACACCATTTCAGAAAGAAACCCAGTGCAACACATCTCAACAAGAGGAGTTTCTGTGTCATATGAAATCCAGGCAGGCACCACGGTGCCTGATGAGACTGCAACAAAACCCTTAAGTGCATCAGTAGGCATTCTTCTGCGCGTGGTCTCCTGCTCTACTTATGGATAAAGATGTAATTCAATCACTGCAGCAAATGGATGGCGTAAACCCTCCATGTACCAAACAGAGGCAAGATAAAGCAAAGTCTGTAGCTCTCATTTGTATTCCTAAATATACCTATTTTTTGTGTTTTGATATTGTAGAGAACTCAATAGATATGTAAGAAAAGTATAATGGCAAGCTTTAACAATAAAGCTATCAATTCAACCACTGAGAATTTTAAGTCTTCTAAACTAAGACAATCTCAAACAATACCATGGCATGTTTATACCTTCCTAGTTAATTTACTTGGAACTTTACTAATAAAAACATATGCATTGTTTGTAGATCCCAGTTGCCTCCAGGCCACAATTACAGGACTCAAGACACACGGATTTCCAGTTCTGCTTGACAGGATACACAGGGAAAATTCTTACTTCAGAACAGATTCCTGCATCTCTGCCGCACTTCAAACTTAACAGCAATGGCATCCTGTTTCCTCGGTTGGACTGCCATTAGCAGACAACACATACCTCTATACAGTGAAAGAAGATCCATTTCACTGCATGGGTTTTTATTTTACATACTTGGTAAGAAAAACATAGATAAAAAATTTATTGAAAGGTCATAAACCCACAGCTCTATAAGCAGCAAAAAGGGAATTTAATTGTTTAATAAACATCAAATTGTTTTTAGTATCCCATGTAAGTCTTCATGAAAACCATGTCCTTGACACTAACACGCATTATAAATGTATACGCTGATGTTGCCCCACATGTCCTTGCATCGGATATAAAATGATGCCTTACACACGCAGAGCAGTTCTTTCAACGGGGGGTGTGCTCTCCTTTAAAATCCATCTATTCCCAACAGCACTATTTTCTTAATATTAGAAAGATATAAGAGGTATTTATATAGCTTCCCTATCAATCTACTTTCAGACCACCAGAAATATAAACTCTATGGCTTAAAAATTCCATTATCCTCTTTCTAATGAATGAAAGGAGGACAGAAAGACAAAGCCATCAGTTTCCATAAAATCCAGCTTTCACTAGTGTCTGCTATAACATTTCGAGATGGGCAAAGGGACTCTCCTGAATGCAAAGAAGCACTGCCCTCCCCGGTGCGCCCAGGCTCGCACGCTCCCAGGGACCCTTCTCTTCCTCCTCCTCCTCCTCTTCTAGCAGCAATGCCAAGGCTGCAGCAGGCACTGGCACCCACGGCCCGAGCTCCTGGGACCGTCTATCTCACCATAAGCGAAAGTTATGTTGTTAGACACGCCTCAGTGAAATCTGGGGGTGTAAAGAAACAAACCTGCAATAAAGCATCCTTCGGAATAAAGCAGAGCCCGCGCCGAGAAGCACGTCAACAGACAACCCCTGATTTAAGCCATTTCTTTTAACAATGCAAGCCTAGCAAGTATAAATTAACTCACGCTTTTAAAAGCCAAACAACACCAGTTAGTTAATTTTATCAGCATTTAAAAAAAAAAAAACAACCACTTTGTTTTAGAGAAATCTGGTGAACTCAAGCCTATCCTGCGTTGTGAAAGCAGGTAAATACGGAGTAGGGAGGGGAAAAAAAAAGGCAAATGTGTTAGATGAGATGGGCACTGAAATCTGGCAGAAAAACAAGTGGTAAAACAGCCTGTACTGACCAACAGATTTGTTTTCCTCACCTCCAGCCTGCAAACCCAAAGCACATCAAGACTGACACCACCTGTGATGCAAAACTCAAAATACCAGCTTACGTTCTTCACACTTCCCCCAATATCCTTATCCAATGCACTTCTAATTAGCTAATTGTGCCCACATTGATCCAATTAACAAGCCATAGAGATGTGAACAAAAAGAGCATATTCTGCCCAGTGGAGACTCTATTCAACCACGCCAAAACCAGACAGAGCAAGACGTGGAGGACAAAACCGAGGCCAAGGCGGTTGGCCACCGCTCCCGAGGATTTCGCCATCATTTCGGCTCGCCATCCGGAGATGCTCTCGGGTGGAAACCCCACCGGCACCTACCTCTCCCGTTTAGGAGTGTGGACTGATAACTGTCCATTAGTTGAGGCGTGTGGGTTGATGATTAAGGAGGTCTTAGACGGCGCGGAGGAGGAGACGCAGGTGGTGGACAGGTCCAGGCTGCTGTGGTTGTTGCTGGCTGCCTCCTCCGCTGTGTGCGAGCTTGTCACTTCCTTCCAGAGCTGCTGCAGTTCTGTTGGAATCATGCCTGAAACAAACAAATTGGATAATTAAATCAATTAACAGCTAATTCGGCCGTCTTCAAACAGTAATTAAATCAAAGAGTCAGTAAACAAAGCCTAGTGTTAGTTTTGTGTGTGTGTGTTTTTGTGCATGTATTTTTTTTATTAATAACTAAAGGCTAATACTGAACGCATCTCTGCTAAATTTTCTAGTGTCACACCTGCAATACCTCTGTAATGCAAAATTCGGGGTGTGGGGCACGGGGGTCCTCACAACACACCACCCACCCGAAGCTCCATGTTAATTACTATTATTTTTTGTAATTAAAATCACAGAGGGTCCGTTTCCAGAGTCCCTACTCAGGCAGATTTCGCCCCAAGGCTGACAGTAAAGGTGGCCAAGGGCTACTCCGCAGTCAGCTGAAGAAATTTTTTTTTTTTTTTACATATACTATTTATTTTAATTTTTTTTAAGGAAAGCGAATACTTTCTAACCTGTTTTTAAAAGAAATTAAGTTCTTAGAAAAAAACAACAACTCAGCTTTATTATTATGACAACGCAAACCACAATATGACTAATTTTGTGCTTAAGTTTTAAATGATGACAAATAGCTTTGTTATTAAATACAGTTTTTATTAATCACTTTTAGACATAAATTATGAATTCATATTGTCTTCCTGAAATGCTTTTCAAATTTTAACAGTCAAATTGATTATACTATGATTATTTCATTAACACACCTATCTTTCTCATTAATTTTGGTTTCTCGAACTGCTCACTTAATTGATGGATGTGTCTACTGAAAAACTGTGTAACTTTCTACACAAGTAACACTATTATTACTGTCATTTCTTAGATCGATGCTAATGAGCCATTCAAAAGTAAAACGAAAACATAAAATAAGCTTCAAGAAATAATAATAAAAATAAAATATTTTTTTCATTGCACCAAAACGGACACCAGGCTTAGGACATGGCCTTCAACAAACAAGGTAAGTGAAAACTTTGCAGACTCCAGTGGGCCCAACTGAAGGCTGGAAGAGGAGCCGCGCGCGTCGGCGTGACACGGGGTCGCGCTGAGATCATGCTTTCGGATAACGCGTATGTTTGTGACATGGTCAAACAAGTCAAGTTTCTCTCACTGAGGACAATTTCAGTGCTCTTTCAGAGAAGGCCATGGGAAAAAATTAGCAGTAGAGATGCATCACTTAAATATTCAGGGGGAAATAATAATAATAAAAAAAAAAAGCCAGTGTCTGTGTGATTTTAAAGAGGTTTCTCGTCACTGTCCTTCCAGATCATCATTTGGGTGGCCGTTCATTGTCTCAGCGGATTGAGCACTGGAGCTATCCTAAGGAAATCTGCCATTTTCTGAGTGTACAGCAGTGGCTCACACAGGCATGTATCTCACCAAACCTAAGGTACTGAAATAAAAAAAAATTAAAAAAATAGAGGCAGTATGCATTATATTCATTTGAAACACATAATAAAAAATGCCAAGGTCTAAATTTAATTTATTTTTGTCATTTAGAATACAATGGATAGATAATCATCTCAACGTGATCAGCCAAACATCTTTACTTTGCTAAACTGTTAAAGATTTTAATTATGCTAGCTTTGGAGAGCACTGGTCTAATGAGGCGATAGACTCCAGAGAATCTAAGTGGTTAAGAACTGTGAAATGAGTCTGATAGGATTTTTTTATATTCACCGTGGATCGTTTGCATATCAAAGAGGAGTAAATTATTGCACGACAGACCAATAACCTTCCCCGCCTTTCCGAGAGTAGCATTAACAAAAACAGTTGGTCTCCGGTAACGGTTCACTACAAAAAAACGCTAAAATCCTTAAGTATCTGCAATTAATATATATTATGAAAGAGGCTTCAATTTATACATTAAGTGATCAGATATTCTGAGGACACATCCGCTTCTCTAAAGCCACGTCATTTTCCTTTCATCAGACCCAAACGCCAATTACATTTTGATGGATTTTGTCCCAAATGAGCATTTAGTTATTAGACACATTCAATTATTACTTGTCCCCTGAAATTAAACCTCTGAGCAAATTAAACAAAGAAAAAGGTCAGTACACAAGCCTGTGTCCTGTTTTGCTGTAGCGGGGCTATTATTTTCAAACACCTTGCGAAGTGACAGCGTGGGATGTATTTTTAGCTAACACGCTTGACAGGACTGTCTGCGCACTAACAATTACCTGCGAGCACGGCTGACCCTTACACCACTGTTTACTCAATTGAAACAATAGTGAATAGACTTGTCTGTTGATGATAACATATTGTACCATTTTTATGATAGTGACTCTCAGAGGCACACATTTCTACTATTTTCCATGTTTTTTCTTTTTTTTTTTTTTTTTTTTTTTTGCCACCACCTCCTTATCTGGATTTCTGCAGGTTTTTAATTAATAGACAGGCTAGCATCCACTCTCTTCTATCTGTCCCCCTTTTCTCCTCTCCCCTTTCCCTCTCCTCCTGGTCACTTCTGGATCTATTAATGCTTTATCCCAAGGAAAAGCTTGCAAGCGTTACAGCCATTAAATTACACATACACATAATATTTATACTTTGCTGTAGATCCTCCAAAAGTCAAGGGCTTTGGTCTAACTTCCTATACAAGTGTAACTCATATTAGCACTAGCGACAACTACACCACATATTTAAAGAAAAACAACACAAACCCAGTCGTGTGGGGGCAAAATGCTGGAGATAATAAGGAGGATTTCATACTGGGTGACATTAAACTGAAGAGTTAACTGTGATGTCATACGCATCCGCACACAACCCGTCACTTAAAAACGACAACATCACTGACATCACTTGATTAATAAAACGAAAGTAAAAAAAGCCTCTCTCCTCCTTCCCCAAATTTAGTTCTTTTAGAATAATTGCGGAGAGAATTCCTAACTAACCTGCCAAACTGGGCAGCCGAAAGGTGCGCTCATTACTCATCCGGCAAAACGGTTAAATAAAATAATAGAACAAATGGTAAAAGCCAGTCAAATAGATCCACGCACACTCACAATAAATTATGTAATTTACCATTTAACAGTTTCATTTGAGCAGCGAGAGCTAAATTTTAAGTCGGATTCCCAGAACTGCGCTGCAATTACCCGAGACCGCTACTGCCGGCGCTGCAACTTCGTCCGTACCAGTAACGGGATTCAGACCTGAAACTGCCAAATCTACAGGAGCAATCAGGCACCCAGATGTCGCAGCCCTATTATTTTCACTCGCTGGTGATCTGAAGTGTGATTTGCAGTTTCATTCTGCAGATACTAAAGATCTAGCCCTCGCAGCTCAGAACACTGCTGAAATGTGGTTTATTTTTAAATTGCTACTACGTACAGATGTAAAATCTAGATTATAGATGTGTCTAAATACCAAGCAGCGAAGATCACACAAATATAACATTAAAGGATGTGCTGTTTTGAGTAAGACAATAGCCGAGCACTAAAACCTGAAATGAAACTAAAATACAGCTTTAAACAATGTATTAATTCTAAAAATATAACCAAAAAAATCACTTACAAAGTAGCATTCTCTCCTTAGAAACATTTATTACTATTACAGATACTTAAGAATAAAAGCAAAATGCTTTTAACTGAATTCATAGCTACATTTACTAGAGGGATGATTTTATTATTTTTTTTATACGCACATCTACAGTATTTGTGTCAGTCTTGCAAACTGTTCTGAAAACAAAAGGGAATGATATATCTCTCTTCTTTTTTTTTTTTTTTTAAATAAGAAGTGTCCATTACCAATTATTTTAAACTATAGCCCTGGCTCCTCATTACATTTTTCAGGACAACTAGTCCCCTTCATTATGAAAGAAAATGTAGGCACAGGTTTAAAAAATGTATGTTGTGGGGACAGTTGACAGATGACTGCTCACAGAACTCAATTTCCCAACCCCAGGTATCACCGGCTCAAAGACAAACAGAGTTGCTCAACCTCTTTGTGTCCTTGTACCTCCATACCCAGGTGACCATGTTCAAGCAAGCAGAAAGTTGATTTAAACCTCATAATGACATCAGTTTTAAGCCATCGTCTCTCTGATAAAAAAAAATAAAATATCGTGCTGTACCGCAACCTGCCTGAATTCTCAAGTTACTCCTTCCTCCCGCTGCCGAGCCCCCAGCTCCAGCCGCCCCCAGCGCTCGCAGCTCATTTCCCTGCAAGAACCAGCCCTTTCTGCTTATGTTTATGTCGTCTCCGGCGTGCAACTCAGCACCCCTTAGGTTTTAAACACGCTTCTTCGCGAGGACTAATAGTTACACTACCCTGCTAACCATATCAATCAATGCCACGACTGCTGAATTACCTACTGGTGTCTCCGATGTGTTACCGCACAGATTACACTTCATGCATCACCACATTCATTTCTTTCACATTACACATGAGCGTGTCTTGTCACTGCCCAATTGCCCTCCTTTGGACAGCTTAACTGATGTACTATACAATGAACCTTCCCGAGCCAACTTAATAGTATAGGAGCTGTGGGAAAAATTAGAAAGGTTGAAGCTTCAGTCCGGTGGGTGTGCAGGAACAGCCTGGGATGCTTCCAACAATAAATCTGAAGTGTAATTAACGCACGTTACGACGTTTTGCAAGTATAAAGGGCATTCAGCCTGCATGCCCTTTTTCCTGGACTCGTTTCACACCTTCTCCCCATCACACTGTGCATCGACGGTGCCTGACCAACCACCACCCCAGGCCTGATCGTGAAGCTCCCAGCCAGGCACCACCTTGCTGCTCATCAGCCTCTGGCTCATGCGCGGGACCAGTCTAGGTCAGGCGTCCAGCTTTGGGATGCTGGAAAGCTAAACTGAGTCTTGCAGAGGGAGGTGCCAGGTACCCAAAAGCTGAACCTTTCCAGACAGCAGTTCGGTGCT